GGGGGGGAGAGACAGACACCGAGGGCACCGCTGTACAGCTAGCTGGGAAGAGAGAGAGGCAGGGGGGAGGCTAGGGCTGTGCTAGCCACCATCCCCCATGTATACGCACTCAGTCGTCAATGGTCCGTATGTGTGGTCGACCAGACACACTCACACACACACACACACCGTTGTGTTTGGTGTGTGTCGAAAAACAGACAGACAGGGAATCATTGGGTTAAGGGCTTAAAGAGTCCTCCACTCAGTCAGTGTGTGTATGTCTGCCGGTGACTCGGTAGATAGCTGACAAATAGCCGACACTTTCCGCGACCGACACTCCGACATTCCGTCTGTCCTCGACAACTCAGTATGCATGCGTCAACCGACACTCCAAAACGGCCCACTTACGCAGCCCCCCGACAGGACATACACAACACAACACAGGCCCGCTGACTGATCCGTTCCCTTCCCCTCCTGCTCCTGTCTGTCCCTCCCTCTACAAAATCATCCATGTCACCCACCCACACCCTCTATGTATCTAAGTCATCGATGCAAGGGAGCACACCCCACCCCAGCACACAACTAGGCACGTGTCTCGCATATTATGAGACACTTCCATCAATCCATCAGCCCATCCACCAATCAACGTGCAGAGGGAGGGAGAGAGGGAGCCACCACATACACAAACCAGAAGGAAGTAAGTCAGAAGATCAAAAGCAACGTTGGGCGTTGGTCGTCACGACGGCAGGAAAAAACCAGCTCTTGTTGCCTGCTCCTTTCGCCAGCTAGGTAGGTGGCTACGAAGGTGCTCACGTGTCTGTCCGTCTGTCTGTCTATGATGGTGCTAGTCCCTCCATGGGTTTGTTGGCTTCGTCAGGATGCAGCAGCATCTCGTCCAACGCCTTGCCGGGCTGATGGATGGACGACACAAACCACCACAAGACAGACAGAAACACAGAAGGCGTGTGCGCGATAGTGTGGGTCTGTGTGTGTTTGGTCACCTGGACCATAGGCAGGCATATGTCGGGGACGACACGGAAGTCGACCACCATCGGCCCCTCATGCGTCAGCCACTTCTCTATCACGCCATCCAAGTCATCTGCAGAAACCGGCACACACAAGACAAGACACATGTATCAACGTGTCTGAGCGTCCTTCCTTCCCTCTCTGTCTGTCTGGCTCACCGGAGTTGTCGCATGAGATTGCATCGATGCCGTACGCCTTGGCGAGGGCAACAAAGTCGGGGTTGTTGTTGGTCGTGGAGATGTACCGCTCGCCGAAAAACAGCTTTTGCCATATCCACACCATCTGACACACGCACCCATACACAGAGAGATCCACACATTTATCCACATCTGCCCCTCCGCGGCTCATCCATCCTCAAGCCGACCTGCTGCCTGTCGTCGTTCATGATGGCAATCTTGATGGGCAGCTTGTAGTTGGCCACCGTCTTCAAGTCCATCAAGCTCATGTTGAACGACCCGTCCCCATCGATGAGCACCACCATGCTGTCGGGGTTGGCCACCTGGGCCCCGATGGCGTAGGGCAGCCCCACCCCCATGACCCCTAAGCTGCCCGACGTCAGCATCGACCGCGGCCGCCGCCACCGGATGAACTGCGCCGTCATCATCTGGTGGTTGCCCACACCTGTCGTGAAGATCATCTTCTCACGCACGTCGGGCGGCAGCAGCTCCGTCGATTTCCTGACGAGCCGCCGATGAGCACAGGACACACACATGGGTGGGTGTTTGGATGTTTCGTTCCGTCCTCCGTTCTTCATTGTTAATCACCTGTGGATGGCGTCGATGACCTGCTGGACCTTGATTTGGTTGCCCTCTGGGGGTATCCACCTGAACGGTATGTCGGCCTTCCACTGCCGGCACTGCTGCAGCCACTCGTCGCGGTCATGACGCTCAACCAAGGGCAACAGTGCCTGAAATGACACACACACACATACACACACAGGCAACACAGGCAGGTGTCTTGTTGCGATGTGTTGGGCCTCGCTTCGTCATCGCACACACGTACCTCAATGACGTCTTTGCAGTCGCCATGGACGGCCATGTGCGGTGCCACGCCGCTCTTGCCGAACTGCTTCTTCTCGATATCCACATGAACTATCCCGCCCTCCCCCCTCTCTGCCGCAGCCTTCGCCTGACCAACACACAACACACACACATGTCACCATGCACATGGGCTCTCTCTCTGTGTGTGTGTGTGACGTACCTCTGGTGCGTATTTGTTGAGTATGCCGGTGGTTCTGTCGTCGAATCTGCTGCCCATAGCGATGACGAGGTCTGCCTTTTGTATGGCCAGGTTGCCGTAGGCCGACCCGTGCATCCCCAGCATGTGGAGGCTCAAAGGGTCCTCCTCGTCAAACACACCCATTCCGTGGATCGTCGTCGCCACCTGCACCCACCACAAGCCTCACACACATTCCGTCATGTGCTGTCGGTCTCTCTCCCCCCTCCGTCGCATCTCACCGGTATCGACGCCTTGGCAGCGAGCTCCCTCACTTGGTCGGCCGCACCGACGGCCCCCTGACCCACATACAAGACGGGCCTCTTGGCCTGGTTAATGAGGTGCGCCAGCTGCTGTATCTGCTGCACGTCCACCAGCGGCTTCCTCCACTGGAAGGTCTCCATCTTGATCTCCTCGGGCAGCTCGCCCTCGAGGAACGACTTGGGCAGCCATACCTTTCCGGACGAGATGTCCTTGGGCAGGTCGATATGCACCGGGCCGGGGCGGCCGCTGGTGGCGATGCGGAAGGCCTGCTCCACCGCCTGATTGGACAATACACAGACAGGACAGTGCAGGGGTGCTTGTGTGGTGCAGGAGGAAGCATTCTGCACTCACCCATGGCAGGTCCTCGACCTTCTCAGCTCTGAAGTTCCATTTGGTGCAGGGTTTGGTCAGCGCACAGGCAGGGCACTCCTGGAAGGCGTCGCTGCCTATCGCACCAGTCGGCACCTGGCCAGAGAACACTGACGCATACACACAGGCAGGCAGGCAGGCAGGCACACACACAACCAACACATGAAGGCAGTGGTCGTGGTGACATCGTGGTGTGGTCTTACCGACGAGTGGGACTCCATCGCCGATTGCGTCCTGCAGGGGGGTGATGAGGTTGGTCAGACCTGGCCCAGACGTCACCACAGCCACACCGACCTTGCCTGCACATCACACGCGCACACACGAACACACACACACGAGCACGTGCCCCTTAAGACTCCACTCCACTCCCAGATCTGCTTGTCGCGCACCGGTTGATTTGGCAACCCCCATGGCAGCGTGGCCCGCACACTGCTCGTGGGTGGACATGTACCACTTGATGTCGTTGCCATAGAAAGAATCCAGCAGCGGCAGCACAGCCCCCCCAGAGTACCCAAACACAGCCTCCACGCCGTGCCGCTTGAGCATGGCCGTCACTATCTCACCCCCACTCAGCTGCACATACCCCTCCCTCTCCTCCGGGGAAGGGATCACCGTCTCGGGCGCTCGTAGGACCTCCCTTAATTCACGGTAACACTCCTGCACAACATCGTCTTCGAATTTGTCGATCAAATCGTACAAAGAACCCGTCACGGGCCCCTCGAAGGCACTCAGAAACTCCCTCAGCGCCTTTGCCGCCCGGTCGTTGCTCAGTATCTGCCGCAGAGATGGCGACCGCAGCAGATCTTTCATCTCAGTCAACGTGTTGGCGAGCGTGCGAAGACTATCCAGAGCCTCCGTCTCCTTGAGCTCGCCACTCAGACGGGCCAGCCGCTGCAAAGCCGCCAGGCTGTGGCCTCCTGCAGCAGCTGCCGCACCCAGGGCCTCCTTCCGCTTGGCATGTTTGTCCTCGTGGCCGTTGATGCGGGTGCCCCTGCTGGCTGCCGTGTGGCCCTCATCAGACCCATTGGGGTAGCCGAACGGGCCGAGCAATGACTTGGCATCGGCAATCGACTCGGCCATCTCGCGTGGCGGGGCCGTCTGTGTCGCATCTGGCCGAGGTGGAGGGGTCATGCCAAGACGGGTGAGACGCCGGTTGGCCGCACCTCTAGCGATTGGCGGTGTCAGGAAGGTGGTCTTCCTGCGTGTGTGAGGGAGGGGTGCGGCCGCATCGGCTGCTGTAGGTGGCCTGTTGCGTGGCGGGACGGCCGCCTCGCACAGGGTGCCCAAGAGAGAGTGTAGGCAGCTGAGTATGAGGGAGAGGGAGATGAGGGCGTCCAGGCGGACGGCTGGGCACCCATCCATGATGCTGACTCGACTCGACTCCAGTTTAGTAAGTGACTGCTGTGGATCCCTGCGACTCGACTGGAGATCACCGTTGCCGAGCTTGCCTACTCGGACTCTGCCGTCTGTCGGCACCCTTCTCTTGTCATCCTCGCTCCTCCCATCCCCTTTTCGCGAGCTAAGACTGCTTTTGCGAGCTCTCCAAACGACTGTAAGGAAAAACGCAACTTTGTAGGCTCTTGAGGCTCTGAATTTGGAGGCAGATCTGCCCATGAAGCTGCTGTGCGCACTCGCTCTCGCATCTTGTGTCCTCGGCCTCACACGCGCCTTCGCGCCGTCGCCCGGCTTTCTAGGGCAGATGCCCTCATCACTGAGGGCGAGAAACAGGTGGGCAGTATCGTGAATGCGGCGGCACACCTGCGCAGATCCAATCATGAGAGCTGTGTGTGGTCTTTTGCAGATGCGCCAGTGCTCTGCAGATGTCTGTCGAAGGACCAGGCAAAATCAATCTCTCAGTCGACCCGGAGAGCCCCAAGGTGAGCGAGTCATTCATCAGAGATGGGGCAGCAATGCTCCCTCATTCTGCCATCGGTGTGCTGTGCTGTGCTATGCTGTGTGTGGCGTTGATTGCAATGCAGGTGGTGCATCAGGAGAAGATCCCAACGGGCAAGAAGAAGGTCTACTGCAGGTGAGTGACAATCAATGACAGGCACACACTCTGGGGAAGGAAGGCCTTACTCATTCATTCATTCTGACTGTGTGGGTGCCACTAGGTGCTGGCTGTCTGGTACATTCCCTGTGTGTGATGGCACCCACGCCAAGCACAACGAGGCCACTGGCGACAACGTCGGTCCGCTTATCGTGTCTGCCGTCATGGCGGAGCCGAAGGCTTCCCCCAAGCGGGACGTACTGGGGGAGGCTGACGTCCTGGATGAATGAATGAGTAGACAGACAACCTTGGCAGACAGACAGACCAGACGGGATGAGCAGGCCAGGCCCGTGTAGAGCGCTGAGGGTATTTTTCCACGTCTGTCGCTTCGGTCATGCATGAGTGAAGGTAGCAGTGGAATCCCAGAGGGATGTGATGTCGGTTTCTCTGTGAGTGTCGTGCTGGGGTGCGTGTGAGTGAGGACTCTTTTGCTTTGCACCTACCGGGATGGCGGTTCACTCGACATGCCAACTCGGTGTAGTCTAGACAAGAAAGGCCAGCACAGCAGCTTGACGAGTAGTGAGTGCTACATGTGGCTTAAAGGCGGTAGACCTTCGGACGACTTGACGAATGGAATGGGTGCGCTGTTTTTGTCGTCTGCTGAATCAACCGTTCGTGTGGCTTTCGATTTGTTTCGGTGGACGAGCGACCCCCTTTGGTGCTAGTCAATGGGGGTTGGCCATCCACCGAGTCGACAGAAAGAGGCACACGGACGGACAAGCAGATGACACACACAAGTGGATGGAGCGTTCCCAATGAACGAAGGGCACGATAAGCCAGCCCCACATGTTCAACTCACACGCGTCGCGAATATTCACACGGACTGTCTCATTCAGCAGACACAAAAACACACACGTGTCTGTTGTCTGCTTGGGTGGTCTCACTTCCTGGACGTGACACATGCAGTCAGCGCGCCAGCCCCGTCCCCCCCCGTGACACATGCAGTCAGCGCGCCAGCCCCGTCCCCCCCCGTGACACATGCAGTCAGCGCGCCAGCCCCGTCCCCCCCCGTGACACATGCAGTCAGCGCGCCAGCCCCGTCCCCCCCCGTGACACATGCAGTCAGCGCGCCAGCCCCCCCCCCCCCC